TCTGATTACTTATTTTACTACAGAAGCAATGCAGATGGAGAAATATAGCATATCTTTCATTTTTCTTCGAAAAAAAAGTGAAAAGAAGGCCACCGCACTTATTCTTCCCAGTGATGTAGCTGTCAACTTCTTCATTCTCCTCTTCGTGGAGCCTTTTTCATCCGCATTGCCCTTTATAAGAGGGAGTTCGAGTTCAAGCGAATTTTTTTACCGCTTTGGTTCACTCCTATTTAATCGTATTTTTTTTCAGCTGATTCTCATCCGAGCTGTGAGCTTCTTTTTGAACCCGATGTATCGTTTCTGGCTGGAGCCAGCTGTACTTCGTGATGTTATGCATGAGCATGTTCAGGTATTTCCTTTTTTTTTGCACAATTATTTTGTGATTCAAGAAGCAGGAAATCAGCTGGGGAAAAAAAGTTTATCATTGTTCGTCCATTTAAACTATTAGTTGGTAGATTGGGCGCTTTTCGTAGTCCAGGAGTGGCAGTTTTTCAGAAAAAAATGGTATTGCTTAACTCTCTCCAAAGACAATCCAAAACTACTAGAACTCTGCTGGGTACTTTTTTGGGAAGAACCGTTGAGCTGATTTCTCGAAGGGTTTTTAAGAAACGAGACGAGCTTCAATAGCGTTAGCTGTCTGACCGTCAAGTTATGTAGCACTTGGTTACAGCGACTGGGAAAATCATTATTTGCATTACGCTGTGATTTGATATCTATCTATTTATCCCGTTTACCTGGCCAGATCACATTCATCTCTAATAGAGTGCGAATGGATCCAGTGTTGCTCGATGGTAAAAGATCTGATATAGTTTCAGGACTTTTTCGAAAAGATCTGGGGATGCTGGGCTACTATTAAGAAAAGCTTTTAAAGAGCATGACCTTCTTTGCAGTAATTGAAAGCGCAACCTAAGTAATGATAAATGGCCAACGCACGGGCTGCCCGTGCGAAGTTGCGTTTTTTGCAGAGTTCCCCGCAGGTTTTTTTCGCTACATCGGTTTTTTCGGCAGATGCTTCTAGCTGAAAGAATTTCAGACTGGCCGCCAGAAATTTCAGTA